TTAGACAATTAAGTGTGATATATATATATATATATAATTATATTAGAGGGTCTAGAGTGTAAATGTATCTCTTATATATATCCCTGATTGTAATCGGTATATACACACACAATTACCAAGTTTATCTTAGCATATATGTATCTCATAAATCCTCATAAGCACTCACCTTGATTATGCCTAGCTTTTCCCTTAATTCCTTTCTTCAAGCTTGATTATGTATAAAGAGAGAGATCTCTTATTTTTGGTATGGAGCTAATAGTAACACTTCAACCCCTATTTATAGGTAAATTCATTGCATTAGCTACTTGTTCTTCTTGCTCCTAAAATTGTACTTTTATGAGAGTTTAACACCTCATTTTTTAGGATAAGAGAATCTTGACACCTCATGCTTAATATAAAGGAACCTTGACACATCATGCTTCTAGCTTTTATTTGTCATGCTTCTATCTCTTGCTTGTCATCATGAATTTTGCCAACACATGCTTCTAGCCTTGACAACTCATAACTAGCTTGCTTTGTCATGCTTAGTAGACTTGCTTAGTCATCAAATAGCTTGCCAACAAATACTTCTAGCCCATACAACTCATCACTTCAGGTTTGATTTCTGATGCTTTGCCTTGTAAGCTACTTGTAAGCTATTTGCCTTGCAAATATAATAATTTAATAGATGCTACAGTTATTGGCATCTTTTTAGAGTACTTTAAATTACTCATAATATATGTATTTAAGGCTTAAAACATTGTAATTTTAACAACTATGGAACTAGGGTCTTACAATTCTCCCCTTACATAAATTTCATCCTAGAAATTTTACTCAAAAAGATGTGGATACTTATTCCTCATTTCTGACTCGACTTCCCATGTTGCCTTTGATCCATGAGAATAGTCCCAATGAACTAATACCAATGATACCTCTTTGTTTCAAAGTTTCTTAATTTTATGTTCAATGTTAGCTATGGATTCTTCTACGAAGTTAAGTTTATCATCAACCGAGATTTTTTCAACCTCGTTTCCATGACATCAAATAAGTCACCAACTATCTTCCATTCCATACCCTTTAGATATATGCAAATTGAAAATATCTTATAACTTGCTACATCATACTTATATTTCAACTTAGTTTGACACAATAATATCATAAACTTTACATTTGAGAAAGTATTCTAACAATAGTTCAACAGCCTAACACATATAATTGTTACTATAAGAACTATAACTCTTCATGTCGCTCCCTTCATATCTTACTTTGATCTTACGTGAGATAGTTCCTACTTCACCTATCCATCTAACAATATACACATGTACCAATTCTCCATTCAGGTTTGTATCTTAATTGTATTCTTTTCAGCTACCACTTTAGCATCATTCTTTGAGAATGAATCTATTCCAATATTATATCACATTTTTCCTAAGCACATCAACTTAACTAGGTAAATTCTTACCATTTAGATTGAACGAACAATTATCAAGAATCTCTTTAACCTTGCACCATCAATGGCTATTACTGTTGGAGATATGCCCATATACACAATAAGATAGTTAATAGCATAATCATATTGGGTCGCACACAAAAGTTCAATTAATGTAAAAGCAAGAAACAATATTTGAGATTAATGGGTAATTAATTAAAGTGTTAATCAATTACTGAAGGGACTAATTAGTTATTAGTCTAGACCTTTTGTGGGCTTCATTTAGAATGGGTTGTGTCCCATTAGGATTAGGGTTTTGAGATTGAGCTTTATATAAAGCTAATCTCCTAAACCTAATTGGCGAAGAATGATTACGGTCGCTCTCCCCTCCCTCAAAACATAAAATCGGCGACTACTCTAAGGGGTAGCCGAAAACCTTTCATACACACACATAATCAGATCAGAGTGTGGTGTGCGTTGGCGATTCGCACGAGAAAAGAAAGGAAGTTTCTAGTTGTTCACGAACAATTGGAGCTTTGGGGTGTGAACTCGGTAGAGAAAATCCTGCTATTGGATTTTTCACTTCCATCTCAAGGTATTTGTAATCACCCTCTTTGTTTCTTTTGTTACTTGTATAAGATTGTAACAGATCTCTAGAGGGTTGTGATTTTGTTGTGTTTGCTTCCGCTGTTCTATTTTAATTTTATGGTTTTCTGATTCTATCACAACCCAACAATTACTACCTTACTCTTATCTAGTTGCTTAGCCTATATATTCAAGTAGTTGAAACAAAACTTCTAGATGTACTTGAATCGAACAAAACTAAGGTACAATAATTATTGCCAAGAAAAGCACCTGAAACAATGTCGGTGATTCCTTAAGCCTTGTCTGGTATCATGACATATGCCTTGTCCTTTGCCTTTGGTTCCTCCTTTTTTCCAACTAAACTTCCTTATGTCGACATCTAGATTATTGTTGAATTCTGTTGAAGCTTATATGCCATCATACAACGCTCATAGCAAGTGCATCTCTTTATATTGTTTTCTTGTGTATCATGGCTTAACATGTGTCGAACCCTATGCTACCTACTTGTCATACTCACAAGACTTATTGCATAAAGGATAGCTCAACTCTTATCTCTTGCATATTTCTTGACCTTAGATGGCTAATCACCATCTTTCTCACATATTACATCCTTTGGTTATAACTAAAATCTTTATCCATAACACAATCCTCTACTAGTTTACAAAATTTCAAGAACTGATAGACCAATTTTCTTATTGTTTACTACTTCTATATCTTAGCTTCTACCTCGATGTTTAACCTTGGAGTCACCTTAGCTTTGGCCTAAATAAACACTTGGTTGTATGGCCACATTCCTGACATCCTCAATTTTGAATGTTGTTCCACCATTCCTTCTAGACATTCTTGATAAAAAAAATGACAAGATATATGTGTCCCAAAAATGTTTTTGTGTCATAACATTTAACATAGTCCGATATATCAAAACATGGCTACTATGATATGGACAATACTTAGTACAATTGAGAATAATCCACTAGATTAGCTAATCTTGAATAGCATAATCATTTAATTATCATCCCATATACTACTTAACTAGATGATATCTGATCACCATTTTCCAACAAAATGAAGAAAATATTTACTTAAGTATCTCATCAAAGTATAAACTTTTAGTGATGTATTCCATCAAAGTATAAATTCTTAAGTCTCAAGTCTTGAGGTTATGTGAGTTTGTAATCTATTTCTCTTATACCACAACTCTTATATTGTAATAAGATCAAGACTTCTTACTAATCCATCACCAATATGAAATAGCCCTACCGATATCAAGGGGAGCCAGGATCTATTCAATGCAAATATAATCTGCAACTTTTTTGAAGTCAACAACTCAGCCGGTTCAATCTTTCTAGACACTATCCCATATGGCTATATCCTCTCAATTCATGTCTAAATTACCTAATCTAAGGAAATCTCAGTTCACTTAAACTAATTCAATTTCAGTTTTCACTACAATGTGCCGAAATGAATGGAGCACCTTAAAAAAATGGATAGTTAGCCGTCCGAAAGCATTTGACAGATTCATCCAATTGAATCCAAACTCGATATGAATACAGTAACGATAATTAGCTGCAGTACTGAAATGAAATTCTTGATACAGTTCGTATGCATTTGTAGAAAGCCCAATTGCAGATGAAACAATATGCAGATTTGGGTTGTAAGGAAGATAATTGCGGTACGATATTTGGTTTTTGTTAAGGTTCGTCCTTAACAATCCTTGGTTTTTCGCCATAATTGGAAGCTGTCAGCTAGGTTTTATGGCCCATACCCAGTACATACCTAGTACTGGAGCGGATTGGGATTGTAGCGTATAAATTGGAATTGCCCCGTACAACTAACATCCATCCCGTGTTCCATATTTCTCAATTACAAAGAGCCAATTGGGACAAGTGTTTCTTCGTTGGTGATCCCCCCTCTGCACGTATGAATTGTTGGCTGCGCCAGATGATGTGTTGGATATTCGTCCTCTGCAAGGTATTGGATAATCCGAAGCTACTTGGGAGGAGTTTGAGTTGATCAAGAACTAGTTTCCAAACTTCCATCTTGAGGACAAGGTGAAACCTTGGCATGGTATTGATAAGCCATTGGTCAAGTTTATGTATGCAAGGAGAAAGGCTAAATAGGACTTGTGTAGATGGGGGGTAGTTCTAGAAATTCATTGTGGTGGCTGATATCTTTTGTTTGTTGGTTATAATAACCAATAGGGGGTTAAAGTAAGAATTGTTAGTAGTGAAGGGGGATATCTAAAGTTTTGTTGACTTGTAATCATTCCGGGGAGTTAAATAGCCTCTCGCTAGCTGGAGGATAGAGAAGCATTCGACTGGAGTTAATACCTTTCAATTGGAGTTCAATCAATTATAGACCATAGTACTATCCTCCGTATCTTTAGGCCCCAAGCCAATGAGAGAAACATTTCCATGGTTCTTTTGTATGATCTTGTAGGATGTTATGGAACTTGATTCTTTGCCTATAGTCATGAATTGTGCATCTAGAAACTTCTATAACCTCTACAAATATCTTTTCCTAGTAAACATGTCTACACTGAGGATATCTCGATATGTCAACAAGGCCAATCCACTCTTGCCAATCACTTTACCTATTTTAAGAAGTTGCATTATGAACCCCAAGACATTCTTTTGATTAGCAACAGAGTTCAAGGACAAGATTGTAGTTATGACATACATTAGTGGCTTATCCTCTCAGTATTCTAGGTGGGGACTCTTTGTGCTCAATCATCCTACTACAGCATCATAAACCACATGTCCCATCTGCAGTGAAATTTCTAGCATATACCTTTATACCCATATACATAAGGCATAGAGTTGATCCATATTTGCTCCAAAAGAAGCCATATATAGGGTATACTGCATTACCCCACCCACTCTCACAAAAAAAAGATAAATGAAATAAGATCTAAAAGAACCACCATATCATCTATAAAAAGCAAAGACACCCACCAAATTTAATGTCAACGTTCCAGTTTTATCACTGCAAATTGTAGTAGCAGAACCCATTGTCTCACAGGCAGAAAGCCTTCTAACCTGCACTTGGAGAATTACCAACAATAATCTTACATTAGAAGAATAATACAAACAAAGAGTTCCAAGAGATTTTGAAGGAACACGATCAAACTTACCAAGGCCTTGTCCGCCATCATCTTTCGCATCGAGTATGCAAGCCTGTAATCAAACAACAAAAGCACAACATACTTGAGCGCAAACTTTATTTGAGAAAACAAAGTAAACTACTATTGAAGAAAACAATTGATTATACAAAGCCAAACTTACGTTAATGTGACAGCTAAGGGAAGCCCTTCTGGCACCGCAACAACCACAATAGTGACCTACATATCTTCAAGCATTGGTAAAGTAGAAATGCAAAACAAATAAAATACTCGAATACTACACCCATTCCTCATTAGACTTTTGAATGTCAAACCTAGTACATCACAACTTCAAAATTACTAAGATTTCTTTTGAACTTCTCAAACCAATTTTTCCTACTAAACTAGTGCTCTAATATAACTTGTATATTAAAATATTCAAATTGACTTTGAAGTTGAAGAATAGTTTGCTCGACTCTGGAAACTCATCTAGGACACTTGTTAAAGAAGGAATCAAGTATCAATAGGATATGCTAAAGTAACATACTGCAATAGTGAAAATTTTTATTGCACCATCTACGGCATCACCAACACTGGTTTTTCCGGCAATAAACTCTACTTTGTCTTTATCATCCTTCGAATGCCCAGAAAAATACCTACAAACAAAACCCGTCGAGATAAGGGAAAGTAAATAAAGGATGGTAGTTGTTTGAAAGGTCTAGTAAACCTATCACCGTGTAACTTTGCATCACCTGGCAAGAAGGATAATAAGAACAGCTATAGCTACCACAAGCCCAACTATACCAATAAACGTGGCGACTCCATTCAAGCGCACCTAGCATAAGTCATAGCAGACACATACAACATATAAAACTAGAGTTCCACTAGTTAAACAGGTAACGCAGTTTGCAAGTTTTGAATGTATCTTTTCCATTTTATAATATAATTTGTCAACAAAAATTGAGGTTGTATGTTTTAAGAACTAACCTGTAATGGTGTTTCCTCACCATTATCTTCTGAGATGCTAGCCATAAGTAATCCCCATTCTGTATTTATTCCAACGCTGGTGACCTGGAAACAAATATACAAACAGAAGTGACAATCAAGATAAAATGTGATTGCCAATTGCAAAGAAAGAGAAAACTTATCTTCTTATTTAAGAAAAAAAGAATTCAATACAACTATAAGGACATACTAACAAGACTGAAACTAATATAATGAATTCATAGCTATAAGCCTTCTGAGAATTGTGATTTTGTGAACAGGGAAAAAGATGACAAGTCTTGGATAATCAAGTTCACTCTCCATATTTTCAAAGGCACAGTCGAGTAACCTTGGCAAGAGAATGCTAATATGGAAAGGTGCAGGCATTTATGCTAATTTAAGAGATTGTCACCCCTGGTTGAAATTCATTGATGATAAACAGCACCACCTCCGATATCGCATCAGTGGCAAAGAAAGAGTCTCAAGCAGACAGCAAACCCTGGCAAGGTGTCAGAAAAAAAAAACTAGACATGGACAGAAATCCAACATGGTAGACTTCCTACCAAGGAGGTAGGAAAAGCAAGATAAAGAAGAAAAAACGAAGTTCCAAGAACAAACAGATTCAAGTCTGACATCTTTTATAATTTTAAAAGAAGTAAAATAAAAGCAAGCAAAGCAAAAGTAACAATAGGTTGATCGTGTAAGATACAAGGATATAGGGGAGGAATCCATAGGGATATGTTGTTTCCAAGAACATGGCCTTTGATAGGAGCACTTGGAGACGTGGGATAAGGGTAGCAGATGAGTTTTTGGGACAGTAACTAGCGTGGTTGGGCACAAGGGAGTTGAACAGGTTGGGCAGTAGAGGGCTGATAATTTTAGGCTAGAGATGTGTTGTTTGGCCTAACTAGCTCTGTGCTCTACCTTTCTTACCTTTTCATATGTTCTCAATGCACCTACTTGTTATTTTCTCTTACTTTTTCTATGCTTCTTTCCCCATTTGTTAGTCTTTATTCCTTCCACCAGATTGCCAACACTCTTGCATAAGCCAGGGTTCTTCACAGGACATCCATTCTACCCTGTTAGGGTAGGGTAGAGGTCAGGTCTGTGTACATCTCACTCTCCCCAAACCCTATCTTCGAGTGGGATAGTTTGTTTGGTTCGGTTTGGTTTAAGAGAGGGACCCATAGTCTACACCATAAATACATCTAGGGATGAAAATAGCGGCAACTAAACCAACCAAGCAACAAAGGAGTAACAATAAATACCTTGAAGCGTCTTCTAATACGAAAATAGAAGAGAGAGATGTACAGAAATAGTGCATACTGAAACTATTACTGTGTCGTGATTTCAAATCTAAGTGTATATACTCTGATGTGATTTCAAATCTAAGTGTATATACTCTGATGTGATTTCAAATCTAAGTGTATATATTGCATACATTCTTCACTTGATGTTAAAACTGAAACCAAAATAATGATAAGTAATTTCAAACTTCATGGACTTTACCCAAAAAGATGTCTTCTGTTTGGGGTTCAGAGTAGATTCTGAAGAATTAGTTGCCTTCAAAGTACTTTACTCTTGGTCATTATGAGGGGTAACCATCAATTCAGACAAAGGAAGTATTCCACAAACTTCATATTGAAGAATTATCGCATGACAGTGCACTCTCTAGAGTGTTGATAGATTATTGAAAGGATGCTTCAGCAAATTCTACTTGCTATCCACAAGAAAATTTGGGGGATTTCAAATGAACTTTACATAATTCCAATTAATGAACCATATGATACACAAGCTGCTTTCATAGTCGAGCACCAATTCTTATTGCAAGTGATGCAATTATTTTGTTTGAAAAGACATTGAATCAGAAACAGTTGCTTGCCAACACAATAATCAAACGTACTGTAGTGGACACATACTCCACAGTTCAACTGGCTAGCCTTTTTTTCTTACCAGCATAGTACCATAGCCATCCGCAATCTTGCACCCAGACATTAAAAATGGTGCTTTATGATCCTTATGAACCTGCTCCACCAAGAGCATACAAAGTTACTTGCCCAGAAAGAATCACTAGCAAATTGCAACATAACAGATCATGAAACTTACAATTTTACTCTCGCCGGTCATACTTGATTCATCAACAGCCAAGGAGTGACCAGAAACTAAAATGCCATCGGCAGGAACCTGGTTCATAACTGATTGTGAACGTAGTGGAAGAAAAGGACATATGGCATGATAAAGGAAACTACATGTTTTTCTGACCTGATCACCAATCTTTAGGGGTATTACATCACCCACAATGATATCGAATATTGAAATCTCAATCCTTCTCCCACCTCTTACCACCTACCATTCTCATTTTCATCAGCATAAGTATTATTATAGTTATAACAGAAAAAATAGTGTATGGTTGAGAACGGACCTCCAAGTGTATATTCTGCTTCTCCTCATTTAGGTTCTGAAATTGAAGTGATTGTTTATAATCACTTACGGCTAAAATCACAAGAAACAACAGTAAGATACCAGACATTGGAAAACCGAAGAACAAACCACTTTCCAATTGAAATACAAATTTGGACTATGAACATCAGTCCACAGATGATAAAACCAAAAAAAATTGACGGATTAAACATAGAGCAACTATCATCATCAGAAGTTCAGAGCAAACCACATTGTTGTTGTTTTCAAGGAGAAAGAAAATACTTAGTTTTTAGTTAAAAATTTGCTGCTTTTTTACAATTTATTTATGTATAAGAGGAGAGTAAAACAAACACCGCCTGTTTGTTTGTATTCACAACGTATTTATGAGAAAGTAATTGATAATTTCCTGCTTTATAGGGTTACTGAACAGAACTCCAAGAAGGACCTACTGTTTTCCCATGACCACCTTTCTATAGGTGTTCTTAAACAATTAGCAAACAGGAATTACCAAACCATAAATATATTCAAATGGAAGCAATTAAGCAAAAGTATAGACAACTCTGCTATCAAGATCTACATAATGAAATACCTGTAACAACTATAACAATGATAACAGCCAAAAATATGCTCCCACCATCATACCATCCTTCTTCGATCCCCTAAAAATATGATAAGTGAAAAATGAGAAAAACGTTCTAAATTACCTTAAAGAGAAAGTAGCCATTCAATCTAGCACAAAAAACTCAAGTGATGACCCAATGATCAATTTGGCTCCAGGAAAGCCGAGTTTCCAAGTTCCACTACTTCCAATTTTAACATAATAAAAGAAGTAATTAAAATCATTTGTTGGTATCAACTTATTCGAATAACTAATTAAAGCACATCTTACAGCAAAATTTGATCATTTTAGGAGGCTAGATACTTCAAAATGTGCATTATATGGAAGCAGAGGCAGACTCTACTTGAACAAGTCAGTAGCCATGAAAACAAACTAAAGTTAAAATCATATATACACACACGCACACACATGAAAAGTGGCTCTTGAAGCAGATATGCTGATTGTGGAATTAATTACTTTGAAGGGCATCAGTCTCCTTTCCATGCCCCAAACATCTCAGTAGAACCTTGCTCTGTAAGGACGAAAAGACTATGAACTAGCTCTTTAAATTGAACCAATTATACAATTTTTTGCGTATCAAAAAGAAAAATAAGATAAACTTCTTTGTAAATATATGATAGAAATACTGCTTAGATGTGTATTTTTATGTTTTATATACGCTTGATGATGATGATATAGCCTATCATCGTCTTCATAGGATGTCATCTTATCTGGTAATGTGTATATACGAGGATTCTCCTAGATTGTGAACACGGCAGAAATTAGCTAGAAATTCACATGGCATCAGAACCCACCAGCTTTTGATACAAATCCTACCCACATATCCCCACAGATGTCAGCTTTCACACTGAATCATATTTAGCTAAACTTCTGCTCCTATAAAACCCAATTCCCCCTTCAGATTATTTGAAATCATGACCCCTGTCTCTTCAAAATCAAGAAAGGGTTCTCTGCATCCATCTCCAATCACACAAGTTTACATTCTCAGACCTGCATCCACATGTCCTGCTTCCAGATCGCCCATAGGTGCTATTTGTTAAGAACTTAATAGACCGAATGCCGTCACATATCTGTGTCAGTCAGATGTGGGTTTGCTTAGTAAACAAACCCTCTGAACCTGAATAAATAACTAAATGGGTTAAGAGACGGGTGAAACGGGTAGGACCTTCCGTGAGTCATACAGTCGCTCAGAACCATTTCTTTTCCTAGTGACCAAACTACCCTGCAATGGAGCAAGCGATCCATCTCAACACCGGCCTTCATCTTCTGTAAAATCCCGTCTAATAAGTTGAGTTTCTGTTATAATCAAGGTTCTAAATAGCATGAGGCGTGATGGGAGGTCAAGCCTTGGAAGCCACGGCGAGGTCATGGCGTTTTTAAGGCGTGATTTATGGCGGCAAATCTCTATACCATATATAAAATTATATACATAAACGTGTGTTTTCTACTATTACTCAATAAATCAATGATACTAAGCAATTTAAATTAAGTTATATACTTATATATTAAAAACTAATAAATAAGATATTAAAAAGATAAGTAAAATCAAATATCGTGTAACAAAAACCGTGCATTACGCCATGGTGTGCCTCAGGCATAACATGGTGTGAGACAAGCCTTGAGCCACGGCGTGCGATAACGGCTGTTGCGGCAAGCTTTTTTGAACATTGGTTATAATACGGAACAAAAAGCACACTATACACGTTGGGTAGAAAGAGTTCATGGAAACAGCAATGACACTTCGACTACAAGTTCATGTATACTCGATTTGCTGTTCAATCTGTAGTTTAGGGACATCACCTGCCAATGCTCATGCTAATTCATATGACTACCATTATAAAGGGGTACAACCACATGAGTCGAAGCAAGTGAATTTGCAAGGTGGCTCAACTCCTTCATGTTTAAATGCTAGTAAGCTAATTTTATCTAAACACTTCCTTTTAGATATCTCCAGTAGGTCTAGCTTATATGGTAGTTCAAGTTGCAATCTATTAGTTTAAACATGTGGACTATGGTGTTACTTCTACTACTATTTTGCTCACATGATGTGGTGACATGATCATTCAGTTTTATCGAACTTCTTATTTTCAAAATGATTCAGAGAGTCAAATGGTAATCTTTTGTCATTCAAAACACTTGTCAATCTGTCATTTCTCATTAAACACCAATTTCAGCCGGAGCCTCTTTATCAACCATCAATTTCAGCTAGAGCTTCTTTATGAAGCAGACATTTAGTACTGTCAGAAATGAATCCCTAGATCCAAATATCATATGAAAAACAAACCAACTTGACGCAGCCTAATAAAGCAACTGAGAATCCTTATGATACCCCTCTTGAAAACTCGAGTGACAACCCATCCAAGACCCCCCCCCCCTGAAAACCCAACCAAACTCAAGACACGACTTTCATGGTGCCCCCCCCCCCTTTTTTTAAGGTACACCAGGAGCTACAAGAAAATGCACAACAACCTGTACCCAGTATCTCATGCAAAATTTCTTAGCCTATACTGTTGCATCATCTTGTGCCTTTAAAATTAACATAGACAGTCATCCTATTCCCAAGAGGGTGCAAAAAGACCTCTCGCGTCCAAGATTATACAAGGCAATTCAAGATGAAATGGATGCCCTATGCTAGCACTTGGTTTCAAATCTCTGGTGACCAAATCAGCTTCTAAGCAAATTGTATTCCCTTGGCGACCATTCATCATTGGTCTCTCTATCAGCTACAGAACAAAAACATTGTTTTCAATGGCTTGGTTGAGAATGAGGCAGCCACCAGGATTTGTGGCTCATGAGGAGATATTTAAGTTTTTCTGCCCTGTTATATATGGTCAAACAATCGACAGTCTTTTGGGGGAGCTTGGTTCGGCGCTTTTTAAATGCTCCCTTGCAATCTGGATTATCCAAGAGTAACAACGAACAATTGGGCAAAATAGATCATCTTGTTAGTCTATTTTGATGAAATCATTCTTACAACAGATGATCATCAGGCCATTCTCAAGCTAAAGAACTCATCAAAAATCTATTTCAAGTCATTGACATACTGTTCTGGAATAAATGCCAACTACCTCAGTACCTCACCCATCATTTAGAATGGCAAGTTAGTGTCGGAAAGATATACAAGATTGGCAAGGAAACCTAATTACTCGATGCTTACACGACAAGACATTTTGTATTGCACAAGTGTTGTTAGTCAAGTTGTGTCTTACTGAAGTGTTGTCTTTTTACATACTACAGCCTTCCCTGAAATATTTCTATATTATGATAAGGGTCATTACAATACAGGTGCCTTTAGTGTACTGCAATCTGGAGAGATAAAAAGGTTCTCAAATACATAGTGAACATGATGTCCCTTCAACTACAGTGTGTAAGTGGGAAGCAGCCTCATAAGATAGAAAACAAAGAAACAAGCTTACCGTATCTCAATCAAGTGCCAACCAAGAGTCTTGAGCTACAGCAAATGTTACATGTGAGAAGACATGATCCAACTATTACAAAACTTTTCCAAATAAATTGATAGACGCTACACCACGATATCAATCTGGCATCCATATGGCTATTAGAGGACCAAAAATATAGCAATTAACTGTCATCTCGTAAAAAATTATGTAGCTGGAACTTCATTCATTCCACAACTATTCAACCAATTCATATTCAGATCGAGTACCAGTTGGATGACTTCCTCACTAAGGGACGGTTTGGTAACAGCTTGATGGACTCGCAGCTTATTCGGTCAGCTATACATGATTGATTGGTAGTGGCTTACTGATATAGAAAATGGCGTATTTGATAAGCTTATGGGGGGGCTTTATGCTAAAAACCAAGTTTTTTCCAAACCCGCCCTTCCCAATTAAAAACATGCTCCTTTCATTTATGAAAAAACCCTCCCATACGAAAGCCTATCCAATCTATACAAATAGATTAATCCACTGGGTCAGCTTTATTCATACAGAACTTAATGGAAAACCAACCAAAGTGCCCCTAAACCTCTCTGAAAGATCCAATTAGACTTCATTTGCAGCAAGTTAGACATGATCTAGTTCTACATCTAAACTCTAACTTAAGAAGTGATGAGACATGCACATTTTTATGTCTTGTGTATTCTTGATGAGACATATTATGTCCTTATCTTCATAGGATGTGGTTTTAGCTTGAAATGTGAGTTTGCCTCTCTCACTCTCTCTACACACGCATACATATATATAGACGCATGAGGATACTCCTCAAAACAAATACAATAAAATCTAAGTTTACAAAAGTTAGTGATGACTTCCATGTTCCAAACACAAAATTATCTAATTAGTAACAGATTCCAAAAAGTACAGTTGAATCATAACAAAACACCAATCAGAAGAATGGCCAAAGTGATAAAAAAAAGTGAGAATATATAAGTAACTAAATATTGACTATAACAGCCATGAAGTAAATGGCTGTTATTAATTGTAATCAACTTTATTTCACTTACCTCTGTCTTGATACCCAATGCCAAAGAAGCAGCTGCAGCTACCATCAAGATGATTAAGGTGGTATCTCGGCAAGCATCAAGTACAAACCTCTATCAAATCAATAACAAACAACTTCAAATTACATAATATCTAATCCTGAATGATGCCAAAGTATGCTCATAAAACAAAATATCTGGTTATAGACTACATACCCAGAAGCTTCTTCCTTTTTTCCGGGGGTAAGTGTTTGACCCAAACACATTTTTCCTCTCCAGTATCTGGGAGTCGTCATCATGAATTCCCTTCTCGGGATTCGTCTTTAACTTTTCTGACAGTCCTTTGACCTGATATAAGTAAAGAAGAAAAGACCAAAGCTTACTGACATGATTATATACTCTAGAAGAGAGTGGAAAGTTTGTAAATCAGAGACAAGAAAATCTTGTTCTATAATAAACTTGCCCCTCCATAATTTTGCAAAGCAGAGAAATCATGATCTCTCGTCATTGAAGCAAGTTGATCCGGACTAATACTAAAATCACCGGTAGGAATAGGAGATGGAGGTGCTCTCTGGACTCCTGTTAATCGAATATAAACACTCGTAAGGTAGGAATCGGATCAAAAGAAACATAAGCACAACTATATCAACATAGTGAACAAAGGCAAGTACCTAATAAAAAAATATTTACACAATTGTATCCTCTTTAAATGGAAGCGTGATGTGCATATGGTGTTTATGTATCAGGTTGCAATAACAACATAAACAAGCTACATATAATAATTTGCAGATCACACTCTCAAGTAGCACAATGTCAAGAACAGCAGAGTAGCTTCTACCAATCAAAAAGCACAGGGGCTTTTAGCCAGTAAAGATCACGGACTACAACCATCATCTGTTCACTTCTGCTCGCCAACATATCAATCAAACCCTTCTATCCACAAATTGGGTGAAAGGAATTTCATGAGCAAAAGCATTAAAATTTTCAAAACTATCATATCCCCACACCCGAACTAGATTGTCCATAAAAACACACACGCACACACACAGAGAGAGAGAATGAATATATGTGAGAGAAAGAACAAATTTTCTACAAAACAGAAGTATAAATGAAGATTAAGTGCAAAAGCCAATATGTTACATCAAGATAAGTTAAGAATTGCATAGATAGTTGAAAGCTAATGAACAAAAATGAAGAATAAAATGCAAGGACATTATTAGACAAAACAGAAGCACCATTTGATTGTGCTCCAGCAGCTTGAAAAAGGTAGGCTGCCTGAAAGAACAGCAACAATGGATCATGAATATCAGAATATCATGAAGTTGCATTAAATACAAACAAAAACTGATGGGTAAAAATATTACTCGTATAACTTGTGCATGGGTTCTGATCTTCGCAATAATTTGCTTCTTCTCTTCCTCCTTTTTCAAATCTAAGGTGTATCGAAATCGACGGGAAGCATTCAGCACAAGCGCCGCTTGCTATAGCAAAATTATTTTGTTAATGCACAGAATTACGTCTATACAATAGAAAGCTACGAAAATAGAATCAAATGTAGCTTTTCTGGTATTGTATGATTATAAAGGTACAAAATTAGGTACAAGTAAATAACTTAACAAATAGGTTACTCCTTTTAACGCACTATGTCACCACAAACCATATTAAGTTTAAGATCTACATAACCTGCCTGCTTGGTCAAACCCAAATTAATTGAAACCACGCTGTAGGATCATATATTTTTACTCAAAACTTAAACTATATGCTTGGTATTAATGGGGTCTCTTCCTAAAAACTACCTTTATTGAAAGGAACCTGTCTAAAATTATGTTTTAGAAAAAGAGTACTCCCCCTCAGTCCAAAAAAGAAAGGCAACATTTGACTTGGAACATACCTAAATAGAAATCGTTGACTAATGATCAAATACCTAAAATTCTTAATAAGACAAAGTTGAGAAAACGTATGGACCATAGTCAATTTCATTTTACCAACTTCTTGTACCAATTGCTAGTGGGTAAATAGGTAAGTTTGCAAAGTAATCCTTCACAGAAATATGTTGCATTCTTTTGAAGAACCCAAAATAGAAAGTCTTCCTATTTTTTGGCATTGAGGGAATAGAAAACAACACTAGCTAGCCCTAGCCACCATTATATTTGAAATGCAGAAGGGGTAATGGGTGAACTTTTAGTACACCATATCATGACCTCAAATAAGACAATCGAACGGGTATAATGAACTATCTTATAGCAGCTTATTTAACTACCTTGAATCCAAATATGAATGCTGACCACGATATACTGACTATCATATATTCACCGTTCCAAATGATTATATGATCTTAGTTGTACTAACTTTTATCTATAGGAAAATCAACTACTATCCACAAACCCTGATGTATTTTACAAATTCCAAACTACTGCCTTCAACAAGCACATAGTTATGCTTACATATAAATTTCATCTTCAAACATGCTCTACAAATTATTTGTGGAGGATCAATAAGAGTGGAAAATTAGAACCCTAGGAAACATGATCAAATACTCCATATTAGACCAAAATCCACTTTCAATTCTGCCATTTTCAGTTAATGTTATTGTCACTCCATATACATTGCAGTCCGAATAATAAAAATGTATAGACAAGTTCACACTATAGGATAATAGAAAGAATAGCATACAACCAAATACCCAATGTGAATGAGAAAAATTAAGGTTGTCCTATTTATTAACTTGCATCTAACTCCATTTTCAGGGATGCTAAACAATGAAATTGAAGACGATGAGAGAAAACGTTGTTAAACAATCCATGTAAAATACAATCAAGACCCTTCCCAACGGCATACCTTTTATATTGAATCAATAACACATCACGAAACATCAAGAATGCAATGAAAAAAGACGCATTACCCTCCATCTTTTAAGGCGGTCTACTGAAGCACTCTTGGTGCTAACAATGTCAAAAGGGTCGGAAGGCGACTCATAATCCTCGAAACCTCCGCTTCCCCCACCGCCAGACTCCACATCATTCTTGTGTTTCCGGTACGGTGAACTACCACTACTCATCGCTGTAAATTAAAACCAGTTACTGTCGCAGGAGAGATGACACCGTCTCAAATTCTCGATCAGACACAATATTCTGTGAAAATAACACCAACACAAACTGAAAAGAATAACATCTGCTTATCATTAAACTAACTGGTGGGTTTATCAACTTATCTCAAGAACCAATAGAAAACATAGCCCGATTTCCTTGATTCAATCAGGAGTAGTACTAGGGTTTCGCACTACGCGACTATTAAATGATAACCCCACCGACCAAAACATAAGACACCTTTCCCAAGAAGCACCCAATATCGAAAGCATCAAACTAGTAACATATATTAAAGTAAAATATTACAGTGGTAGAGATGGATGGATTTAGCAATGCACCTGTAGAGATAGAGGGAGGAAGAAAAGATTCAACTACTGATTTGTGTTTTTGTTTCTTGCGAGAAATTGAACGGAAAGAAGCGAAAACGAAGCGAGGAGAGGCGAGGGGACTTTCCAGGAAGTTTCTTGTGATCTGCCAGAAGAGTTTTGTTAGTTACTCTTAAAATCACAAGTCAAACTGGAGGGGCATAAAGGTAATTTCGACTTCACTAAAGTATCCTTTTCCAAAACCCTAGCGTACTCCTTGACTTGGATGCTTGTGGACTTGTGGTTTAACTATAAAGACAAAGGGATTATAATCCCAAAGTTTTTTAATTAGTTAAAACATAATTTTACCTTCCCCATATTGTGATTTATCCGGTAAGTATAAATTTTATATTATGTTATTTTAATGACCGATAATCTTACTTGATAAGGTAAGTAAGTATGATGACTCTTACTATATAAACCCTTGCATTTATCTATTTTGTATTGGCAATTGGCCCTTAGTGTTGTGTAGGAATCTTATAAACAAATTCTAAAAACATGTATCAAAACCCCATATATATATATATATATATATATATATTTACTAGGAAAAAGTTCTTTTTTAGAAGCAAAATATGTGTTATTCTACAATTTAAAACTTTTGCTAAAATAAATATTGTAAAGATTTAAAATATAATATATAAAAGTTTTAGTAACTATTATTAGTGGACATGAGAAACGAGTGTCGACCACAAAATATGCATGGGATTTACATGTCCCATTCAATGTTGTCGTAAAACACTTTTTATGTTTTCATGTGATAATAAATCCTCATATTCTTGTTGCCATTGTTTGACCACACAAAAGTTATGAATCTTTACGTCTTATGTTTTTTTAAACTTTATACTAAAATTCCTAAGTTGTTCTCTTATGAAATGAGAGAAGTGAGATGAAGCATCTAATAACTATCACTCTAAATAACAAACACATTACTCGTTCATAAAGAAACAAAATTTTGCACTATCCGAAAAAATATTTTAACAATTGACTCAAACTGATCCCATTTTAACCAAAGTTTGTGTCATTCTCGACACCAAATTCTATTTTGTCTTACGAAAATAAATCCGCGGACTATGTTTTTTTTAAAATTCTCAAATAATTTGTTCTTGTTTGGGCCTACTAACATTGAAATCATGATCCACCACCAATTATAATTCATCGTACAAAAAAATTGCATTTATATCTAAATAAATTAACGTAAGAAAATCAAATATAATATTCTTTTGGTTTCAATTTTACATAATAATCTTACTTCCAAAGCTTCGAAAATATGTTTCCATTAAAAAGTGCAAAGTAACCATCGGATTTTCTTTCTACCAAAACAAAATTCTTGATTTCAAAGTTAGAGTCAAAATTAATATAGGTTTCACGAGTCACGACAGATAAAGAAAATATATGCACGTATTAATGATCACACAATAACAACTTTCAACTGGGTATAATTTCCCGACTCATTGTTGTTCGACAAAATATGTCGGTAAAATATGAGTTACATCTGTGGGTATGCATTCATTGAATATATATTTATAGCATAAAAATTGCATTTTTTTAAGACTATGAGGCTGTTTACCAAATTTTCTATTAAGTCCTGTATGGATAAATTTGTCCGTCTGAATAAATTTGGCTGTCTGGATAAATTCATGTTGCTGTTTACTTTTCTATCTGAATCAACAGTCTGAATAACAGAAATGATCAATTTACCCCTGAGGATTAAATATGGGTTATTTAGTAAACTGTTGTTCATTTTTTAAGGCAAATGATATTTCTGAAAAAAATAAAATATTTAAATATCAAAACATAAATTTATAAATTCATTTATATCATCCAAAATTAAAACATAAATTTAATGTCCCCATTGTGTAAAACAATATCCTACAAAAGCAAGGTGAAAACAGCAGCTATGTATTAACAGGTCTGGTGATTTTTTAAAATTTAATGTATGGTCCAATTCTTAGTTCCAACTCTTTCCAATTTTCAGCATTAGAAGAATGCACTGTCCTAATACATATTCCAGCTTTAGAGAAAAAGAAGCAAAGTGGGAAAGGGTTTCAATAATCCAACAAAAGCAAAACGTTAATCATATTAATCTCTTTCTGCTTTACACATATTTCTGCACTATCCTAATACATATTTCTGCTTCATTCTTTGCTGTTAAACAAGAAACCTAAGGAAATACTTTGCTGTTAAACATTGCTTTGTTGTTAAACATTGCAGAAAGAAAAGCATAGAGCAGTCGATGGATCAAACAAACCCAAAAAATCAAGCAAATACTAACAGCAATCGATGCATCAAACAAACCCAAAAAAATCGGGCATATAGTAGCAGCATATCAGCAGCAAAATCAGCAGCAATCGAGTACCAATCGAGCAGCTAGGGTTCTAAAAGCAAATAATCTATAGATAAAGAGGAGAAGTAGTTACCTTTGGAGAAGAGATACTTGATTTGAGGAGACAAATAATCGGCCGATTAGGGTTATTGGAAGAGAAGAGAGCGTCGATTCTTGGAGGAGAAAAAAGCGATTCTCGGAGGAGAAAAGAGCGATTCTCGGAGGAGGAGAGGCGTGGGTTGGAATGAAGGGTAGGAGTGTCTTTTTTTTTTTTGGTTTAATGTGGACAACCCATGGTAGCCATCTGGGCGAATAAGCCCATGTCTGGGCGAATAAGCCTGAAGTAAACACCCTAAAATGGATGTGGGAATAAGTCAATTTATCCATTAAGCCTATTAAGCCTCAAGTAAACAGGCCCTATATCAAGCGGATAAAATAACTAGAAGTCAACAACTATGTATAATCATTTTATTTATACGTTTTTTACACGTATGGTGGCTAAAACTGTGTCACTCCTGTAAAAAAAAGTTATAGGGAATCATATGATTCATACAAACGAAGAATGTAAAATTTTGTACGTACAAAAAAACATTTAAAAAGGAAAATATTTGAAGTATTTTTCAAGAACATGAATCAACACATAGACGTCTTGGATATATTCTCATGCAATAAAATGCAAATACACTTAAAAAGAAAAATAATCAAATAAAATTAAAAGGCATAATGTTATTCAAAATTATTATTTTCTTATAAGAAGTATTTTTATTCCCCTTTTTTATGAAGGAACCTTTGATTACAAGTAAAGGTAAGAGAATAAGATAAAAAGAAGGTGACCATTTTTCACTCTTTTCGTTTGAGACATATGACTCCTTCATTGACACTTTTCTTCAGATATAACTATAATTTTTTTATTTGACATGTGAATTACATATATGGCCCTTGTGTTTAATTATTTTCTATAACTACGGTTTTTATGCTATTTTTTATTTGACATGTGAATTAGATATAGAGTGAATTATATATATCGTCATGTGATATAAAATTTGTAGGTCATGGTTCCTCTAACTAGTATCATCCATGTTTGACTATTAAATAAGGGTTAAATGAGAGATAATTTGTTTTTTTCTCTCTAGTTTTCACTCATACCATGAAAACATCGTTAAGTTTGAGAGGAGCTACAAAATAGCTGAACCTTTGATTTATCACCGTAACATCCCGAGCCCAAAGCAACAAGTTGACCCAATAAATTCAAATCTAACTTAAACCATAGTGAAAGTTATTGGCAGCATACAACCTGAGACTTATAAAGAGCTCATAAATCTCATTTTCTATCCATGTGTAGTTGTTACAATCACGGCCGCCCCTTTTAAGATACGGGCCATGACGGTGGTCTTGATTTAAAAGCCATATCTTCTTTTATGCTTGGTCGTTGTATCATGAGCCCACCTGCCTGTCTTATTGACCTAACTACCCAACAACAAGACCACATTGACCTTTGATTAAGCTCCAATTCACACTATTTTCTTCAATATATGATTCTTAATTGACTTATAGCACTTGCCTAGTTAATATAGTACTATTATCTTGGACTGAATGTCATAAAAATCAACAAGACTGTGGGTTTATGCATTGTCGGTTTTATAACCGCCACATAGCAATGGCTGCCACATCTAACAACATATTGAAATGGTAAAATGAGTTGAGCAATAATTTAGGTTGGTTTTGAGTTTGAGAAATGGGGGAGGAAGAGGAGTTCAATTTGCGTATTCTTAATCACATCTAAAATATATAACACACCCAACATAGAATTAAACAAGATCCCGTTAGCCTGGGCAAGGATGAGGATAAAAAGTAAGGATTAATGTCTCATTTGCACTGCCAGACACTTGATACAAAAATAGCTTGCAACTTTATTTTTGTGTGGCGTTTTTGGAACTTTATCCTATGATGGGTTTTTTCATAGTAGATGGAAAGAGACGTTGTGTGTGCAAGGACTAAACATAGGAGAAATTATGTTGTATTCTGTTTTAAAGATCGTTATCAATTAGTGAAGGCACGATGAAGATTATTACAACAATTATGGTTGTGGAGGTAGAGGCATTGGTGATTGGTGGACGATGGTGGTTGTGGAGGACGCGAAGATTGTGGATAATGGTGATGGTGGCGGTCGACAGTGGTGGATGAGGTATTTCCTAGGCAATGTGGTGGAGATAGTGGTGGTAGTGTTGGTAGCCGATGGTGGTGGTTATGGTGGAGGTGGAGGTGAAGGTAGAAGTAGTGGTGGTCGACGGTACTAGTGGTGGTGGCAATGAAAGGTGGTTGTCGGTGGACAACGGTGGTTGTGGAGGACGTAAATATGGTACATAGTAGTCACGGTGGTGCTCAACGGTGATAGAGAAGGTTTTGTAACCAATGTCGTGGAGGTAGTGATAGTGGTGGGCAGTGGTAGTGATAGTGGTGGGCAGTGGTAGTGGTAGTCGATGGTGGCGGTGGTGGTTATGGTGGAGGTGGTGATGGATAACAGTACTAGTGGTGGTGGCGACGGGGATGGTGGTCGGTGCCTGACGGTGGTTGTAGAGGTAGAGCATTGGTGGTTGGTGGACAACGGTGGTTGTGGAGGACGTGAAGATGGTGAA